ATATCGATCGTCGGTGCTTTATTTGCACGCGCTAAAAAAGTTTACCGGTTAGAGCGTAGGTTCGCCGTGTAGCGTTATCGGCTAATGAGATTACACCGTATATTGTCGATAAACGGAGATATCGATTAACTACTTATAAAATATACGCCGCATCTGACTCGACTATTCTCGCGTGTTGCAGGAATATGTTTCCGGATAATATTTTTCAAGCATCGTTCCAGCAGGTACGCATTTTAACCACCGATGGTACAGGATTTCATGTAACTGGTGATACTATCTTTCTACGTGAAAAATAACATTTTTTCGAGCTTGACAATTCGTCAAGTATTTTGGGATTTGGTTAATTTCAGTTTAGACAAGAGCGAATAATTAGAGCGAAAGCTATTAAAGTGGATGAAAATACAGTTTCCTCGTTTAAGGTCCCGTATTCAAGAAGACAAACTTAGAACGTGTTTATACACCGTGATTATAGTTCGTTGAGCACAATATAGAGAGAAATTTTCCCTAAGAACACGCGTCATCCTTCGAAGTTAAAATAATACTTATTGAACGTATCCTGCTTTATACGAAACGTGCATTTGATACATCTTTATATTTAACTTTCTCGGAAACAAGTTTATTCTACGCTTTTAACTCTTTTTTGCAGATAGAATAATCTGTGTAGAATAATGTCTGTCGATTATTCGCTCTTGTCCTACCCAGAATATCAGTTAATTAGGCTAAGTCTCGTAATATGACGACTTAAAATAGCTCGTAAATTATTTTCTGTGCGATATTTCAAACAAAAGTTGTAAACTGTAACCATTTTGCGAGATATGATTTTTTTCATCTGCAGTTTTTTCACTTTTAATATTCCTTTAGTAACCTTAGTTACATGAATAGAAATTATTGCGCATTATTTTACGAACCATAACTGACATTTTTTTTCTAGTTTCACCAAACGAAACATTCGCAAATTTTTCATTTCTATCTAAAGATTAATTTGCAAAAAAAAAGTTTTATTATTTAACAGTAATTATTTTTTTCTTCTTTCCACTACTGTGAATATAATAATTTATATAACACTAGTGATCACAATCAAGCATTAGTATAAAATATTGTTGCATTAGAAATTTTTTGCTCATTGTTTTGATGAAGTATGAACAAAAATGCATCGATAGAAATTTTTGCGGATAAAATAGAAATATCACGACACCAAGGATTGAATGAAATGTCTAATATTTTCTTTTCTTTTTGAATAAAGCCTCGAATTTTGCATACAATATTATTCCTTTTAAATCTCGATAAAAGAAAAACAAACAATTGCAGCACTGTATATAATTATTCACTGAGAAACGTGTTTTATTATATAACATTGAGAAACGTGTTTTATTATATAACATTGCTTGAAATATTTTTTTCATAGCGAATAATTTACAAGTTATTTACAACTTGTCACGTAACGAAACTCATCCTGTATAATGAAGCCTCAAATAAAAAAATTTTGTTCTCTCTTTTCTGTAATTATCTCAATCATACGACCAGTTACGTAACATCCTTGCATAATCGGACCTACACGTATATTATGTCTTTGACACGAAAACTTCTTGGACAGGTTCACACTGTATACGTTCCGAAGACACAGCCTCTTCAAAATCTTACCGATTCCATATCTTCGGACGTTTTGGGCGACGAAGAACTGATGAGAGTAACGCAATATAGAAGTGGCACGAACACGTTGGGCATAGTATTCTTCTGCCTAGTGTTTGGTACATTTTTGGGTACTCTCGGCGAGAAAGGCCAAATTGTGATCGACTTCTTCAAGGCTGTGTTCGAGGTTATTATGCGAATGGTGTCAACTGTAATGTGGTATGTATAAAAACGTGTATTCGATGTGAAGTTCAAATATTAAATGTCCCTACTTCACGTATATACAAATACACATGTACACGTGCTGTAAACGATTTTAATAACTTTCTTCTAAGTCGTTGCACTTCAATTTCTTTGACTCATATTATTCGTCGATAGTTTTAATGCCAATTCTGTAACACTTTAATTTTCTTTGGCTCGTATTATTTTAGTACATGTAGGAAACAACGATCTCTATTAAATATGAAAATCGTTTGTTTGTAGGATGACACCGGTGGGCATCACCTCCGTAATAGCCGGGAAAATACTCGGTGTCACGGACCTGGCATTGGTGATGTCGCAGCTCGCCTGGTTCATCGTCACGATCGTGATCGGTGTGTTTTTCTATCAATTGGTGATCATGCAGCTGATCTATTTGGCCTTCGTGAGAAAGAACCCTTTTAAATTCTACGCCGGCCTCGCCCAGGGTACTCTCACCGCCTTCGCCATGGCATCAACGTGAGTCGTCGATCTTCGAACTCAGCCCGACCTTCAGAGTACCCATATCGCCTACCTCACATGGCCTCGGTCGTCATCGTCATTTAATTTTTGACACTTTCTACTCGGTTGACCATCGCGATTCACCACCGGGTCCCCTTGCCACCCGGACACGCCGTGTCTTTTATTTTTATTTTACATCGTGCCGCGATCACGTTCGTCGAACGTTCGAAGAAACAGCAAGGCGATCAAGACTCGAATAACAGGTCGACGCATAGTTTGAATCGATTGATAGAGACAATATGTTTCAGCCAGCCGAGAGGAGGCATTGCGAGGCCTTAGTCCCGCGCCACCCTTCCAGATTGATCCTTTCCGGGCAGTGTTTCACAACGTTACGACGCCGAAGACGTTGTCGAACGCTGTCGTATCCTAGTTTCCGTCAATTCATTCGACTCCTCTTTGGACCATTTATGTTTCTATAATGTTTCCGCGCTGTACGCGGGGAAACTCGTCGTGATCAATGAGAAAGAGAGAAAGAGAGAGAGAGAGAGAAAGGGAGAGAGGTATGCAGTTCTGGGTGGCACTTAGGATGCGGATACTCCCGGTTCGTAGTGTACGATCGACGAACTTTCGGTCAAATTTTAACTTTGCTTGAAAGTACGATCTACAATCGTAACGATGTGACACACACGTACCGAAATTTCGATGACACTGATGACATGAAACAACAGCAAACAGCCGACTAACGAGGAAAGAGAAACGCGTGGAAATATTGTACAAGTGCACGGAAATGTTCTGTTACGTCCGTGTATATTTAGCCGGAAATCAGCTGACTCCGTGTCACCTGGACTGATTCTTGGCGTGGAAGGCTCAAGGGGCTTCCATTATCCGAATCTTCTGTCACCCGTAAGTGGATGGATAGAAGAAGACGAAACCGCCAAAACAGGCTTCGTGCCACTTATGCTATTTATTTAAGTATTCTCCAAGTACAAGAGGAAAGCTGAAAAAAATATTGGTTGCTCGTGTCGAGCCCGCTATTCCAGGTTTGCCGGCGCCGTCCATCACTGGCCAGAACACCCGAACTACGATCATTCTCTATATTTCTTTGACTGTTCATTACCGCGGATCACGCGAAGCAACGATCATTTTTTCAGTTTATCCATTGCCATTCATCACCATCAACTAATCAAACGTCCGCAACCATGTTGAACCGTAACCATTTTCCCTTCAATTTCTCCGATCCTCACGTTCCACGTTCACACGTTCATCTTCTCCCGTTCGTTCCTTTCGATGCATCATGGGACAGAAAAGCATTCGTGCATCGATCGTGTCTAACAGTTGCAATGGCACTTTAACGGCGCGCCGAACCTTTTCCGTCCCATCAGTGCGGCGCTCAAGATCGTAAAACGCCCTGCAACGGCATTATCTAATTCAACTTGTTTTCTATGTGGATTAACTTTTTCCAGAAGAGAACGTATACAGCTATGTGACTGAGAGAAACAGCTCTTAGTGTATCTGAACAGAGACTGTATGAATATCATGATGATGTATTAGAACACGCGCTGCACGCGGCCTTTTGCAGGTGGTTGAGAGACCGAGGGTGGCCTTGGTAAGTAATTGATGGCCGCAACATGAAGGTACATGCGATTGTCTGTTACAGGAGTTAGCCGGGCCTTGTTACGCGACTGACGGAATCACCAACTGTTCCCTTCGACAGTCGACATTAACCCTGGTTGATTTTCAGTTCGTCCTGCGGTCATTCTGGTTACTAGTATTTCGAGAAACCTTCCCGGTCCATGCCACTTGTACCACCGAACGCTCTATCAATCGACCTTAGCGCGTATCTCTTCATCGAACCTCCTTACTCGCTTTCTTCAATTCACGCTTCATCCATCTCATTGCGTTGTCCGTCCTCGGATGCGATACGATATCGAGGAAATTCCGTTAGAATTTATATATGAAACACAACTATACTACGCCAGAATGACCCCTCTTCCTCAATGGACATCGACTACGCAGCACGCGGGAATGATCTTTCTTTATCACTCGACACATCTGCTCCTGCCCGATCTTTTCTAACGCAGTTTTGTACAGGGCTGCCGCACTTCCGGTCACCTTTCGCCTGATGACGGACAAGCTCCGGGTCGACCCTAGAGTCACCAGATTTGTCCTACCGATCGGTTGCAACATTAACATGGATGGAACGGCGCTGTTCGTCGCCGTTGCCAGTATCTTCATCGCGCAGATGCACGGCATCATTTTGGGCTTTGGTGAAATCATAACGGTTATGTAAGCTTCTCTTCTTTTTTCGTTTGATCCATTCCGACCAATTGCCAGTACCATTTGCAACGATCCCAATTCAATGCCAACAATATGCTATTTTCTTGAAGTTTAACATCTACCGCTGCGTCCGTGTCATCGGCGTCAGTTCCAAGCGCAGCTCTGGTTCTTCTTCTCGTTGTCTTAAGCGCCATCGACGCTCCCGTTTACAACGTCTCTCTCTTGTTCACCATCGATTGGTTCGTGTAAGTAACATTTTCCTTCGATAATAAAGAATAAGGATCGGTCGTTCGATGTCGGAGATTGAAAATGATTATGACGTTGGTTCAAAATAGTTGTAAGAAGATTGCGGATTTTTATGCAAGTTCATATGTGTGGAATTGTTGGATATTCACATGATATGAAATGGTATAAAAATCGGTAGTCTAGTTATAAGAATCGGAATAATTTTAAAACAATTATGAGTAAAAAAGGTTTTATAATGCGGTTTAGTATAATGTGGTTTCATAATACAATTTCATAATGATTACGTATATCAGTTATAATACGTGTAAGTATAGATTAGATAATTTTTTATATATATTTTTTAAATCATATACTAGTCATGATATTGCTTGTCGTTTTCTAAAACTATAATTTAAATGTATAATTAACATATCATCGATCATTATTTATTGCCTCGTTAACAGAAAGGAACTGTTCTCTGGATGAAATTTTAAATGTTCATCATTTATTAATCTGAACTAACTAGAAACTCTAATTTATCGATCTTAATTCTCCACGATTAATAACCAGATCCAATTTTGACAAATATAAAAGTGCAGATCAAGACCTTAAAGTGGCTCAGGCATAGATGGCCTACATTACACTATGTACAGGTACTTGTAAAATAATATAATATTAAGAGTACGAGTCTGAGAAAAAAGAGATATGCAATGAGGGTACATTATTACATGTTGGGTAAAATTTAATTAAGTTTAGTCTCAAGTATATACTAAATTAAACATATGTATCTTGGTGTTACACTCGGTCTTGATTGTCTAAGTTCCAAATCCCACAATCTTTTTTGGCGACTCGTTCAAGACTGACGAATTATACAATCAAGGTCGAATGTAGCGCTAAGATACGTATGTTTGACTTAATATATACTTGAGACTAAACTTAATTAAATTAAGCCAGATTGATTCTATTGCAAATTGTCTACACTTTCTCTCCCATATGCATCCTCGTTGCCATTCGCTCTTTCTCTTTCTCTCTCATACTTATGGCCTTAATACTGTATTATTTTATTGTACATAGAGTCGTGTAACGCCTTGAGGTCATAAACTTGACCTGCATTAATTTTTTAGCATTCCTACAAAAGAAAATAAAATAAGACACAATTGTTAAATTAATCAAAAAAAAGTAATCAAATATTCAACATCCTCTGGAAGATAAACTCTCGTAAAGCATGGCCATGAAATCTGTTCAGTACGAAGCTATTCGATTGAAAACACGATGTTCAGAATATCTGAACAGTGGATCACAAAGAGTTAAGCATAAACGCTCTGGTTCAAAGAGCCGCTCTTTGAAATGTACGGCGAGGTAACAGATATATTTATTATAAAACCTATATAAAATCAATATAGAACCGATACAATATTTTGTGAAACCAAATCCCAAAAGCGATATAAACCGCAATCTTTTTTATTCGTAACAGTTTCAAGGTCATTCCGAGTCTAAAACTTTTTAATCAGAACTTTTACGTTCTCTTCGTGCCGTTTCAACCTTTGCCATTAACAACCATTACATCCAGGGACCGTATTCGAACCACAAACAACATGTTGGGAGACTGCTACGCCGCTGCTGTGGTGGAGCAGTTGTCGAAAAAGGAGTTGATGGCACTGGACGCAGCCGCTTATCAAGTACGATTATTGCGAAACTGCGAATGGAGATTCGACGAAACAAAACAAAAAAAAAAAAAAAAAAAAAAAACAAAAAAAAAAGAAGAAACTAAACTCGTAATATTTCTTTCAGTCGGAGACCGTTTTGCCCACGACTATCGCAAACGGATGTATTTCCGCCAACAGGGTACCTGATCCCGACACCATCGTCGTCGAGATGCAAGACGACACGAGGATAGCCGGCGTCGCCAAGTAAACAAGCTTGTTGGTAGGGCTAGGCTATCACTTTGTAAGATTCCAACAATCGCGTGCATTCTCGTTACGTCTTTCATTTTGCTTTGCTACCGCAAAAGACTCGTGCAAAACGTTGACATTTACAAATGATTTATGCCAGGCTTTCTTCATGGTACGTACATCCAATCATTCCTGTAATTTTCCTGTAACACCGCTATCAAATTTTCATCGGTTTGCTTTCCAGTCGAAAGCAATGCACACACGGAAAGAGAAAAGAAAAGAAAAGAAAAAAAAAATCAACGAATCGCATTGGCCGTATCGATCATCGCCGTAACATTGAAAGAGCAAACTGTTCTTTCGTGGCAGATATGATCATTCACAACGTGCTTTCACGAATCGTACCGTTTCATAACACATTCGTAATTATTAAGCTCATAGCTTTCGAATCGCTTTGACCTCGAAACCGTAGATCATCGTACTCGCGTAGCATCACGTAGCATCGCATAAGGCATAATCAATCAATCGCAAATATAGCGTATAATCGTGGAACGATTCATGCAAGAAACAAGGCGAACTTAGGCATTGACATTGTTCGAATTACGCAACGACCTTGAGTGGAGTTGGACGAAAGCGAGCGCGTTTAAAAGAACGACGAAAGGAAACAATGCCGAGTCGAGAATAACTCGTCGTATTCGACTAAAAGATCTGGATTTGAATTTTGCGGAATAAACGAATCGAACCGTGGAATATCCATGCATCACTCAACGTCTATCGTCGTTCATCGTCGATACAGCTTTGACTCATTTTCCCATCATCATCATTATCACCAATACGTGCTAACGTATTTCATCATAGCTGAAGTGCCGCTTCGAATCCGTGTCAACACCAAGGACATTCCTCAACATTGTCGTTTCGTTTCAGCATCAGCGTATTACAGATACCGAGGAGCGTGACGGAAGAGACAGTTTGACCTGTGCTTCACACCAAATGTTAATTTAGCTACGTACATACGAAATATCATCGAGTGCGATACGTGCAACGGGGATCAAAGAAACAGTACAGCAGCTACACGAACATCGTCCTTTTGTGGCACCGTGTTTTCTATTCTTACCAAGCGGGTTGCAAGCAATTGC